TAGTAACTAAATGACTTACCTGAGGAACACTCTTAGTGTTCTTCCTTCCCAAATCTGTAAAGTAATGCAATATTTGATATGGAGGCTTCTCTTTGAGGCTGTCTCCTCTCTCGGCATTTTGGGTATGGTCTATACCAGATAATTTTCTCAAGGACAAAAGCAAGTGTATCATATCTGAGTTTAAATTATAGAAATGGACTTTAAAATACTTAAACTCAAAGTGATGGTGTTAGCTAGTTGTAGCATCAGTTGCTTTTTGTTTACTTGAACTCCATGGTTGCTGTTTTCCTCTAGTCTAGAGATGACTAAGGATTTTCCAGGACTCTCAGAATTTTGTTCAGAGTCTTGAGCTCCTAACTGATATAAATCAATCATAGTTACCTCATGTTTCTCATAAAGGCGTGCTGGTGATGGTATTGCATCTGATTGCTCTTCTTCTACTTTCTCATCCTCCATTAGAAAAGTCAATTGTAGAATCTGGTCTCCTTGTAGCCTTTCTTCTTGTCTTATTCCTGGATCAAAACTCTTTGGCAAAGACAAGTGCATAAGTCTAGCATTGGGCACTAAAAATTTAGAATGAGATAAACTATCACTATCAATAGATTTTTCTGTTTTTTCTACTAGTGAAGTTTCTGCTAACATTTTCTTATTAAAACAATTTTCAGCAAAGTGTCCTCTCTTATGGCACTTATAACATGTTGGTTCTTTAGAATTTACAAGGTTAGAAGACTTACCTTGGCTTGGTGGGTCTGGTGACTTTGCTATAGCCTTAGTGCTAGATGTTGTTGTCTTGGGTGAAACTTCTCTTTTCAAGGGCTCATCTTTGGAGCTCGGTTTCTGGTCCTTTGCAAGGCTTACTTGTGGAGCACAACAATCAGCTTGGTCTGTTCCCTCTTTGGTACTTAGGCCTTTCCCAACTCCTTTTGACAAAATCAAGTGTACTGCTTTTTCAAGTAATTGATCGAGATTTTGAAGTATTGTTGAGATACCTATGTACCTTCTGGTTTATCTCCTTTCTTGATACTTGCTGGTGTTACATGATTTTTATGGCTTGATCTCAGGTAGGGTTTGTGAGTTCTGAAGGATTATTAGGGACATAATAGTTACCTTGGCACTTGACTGATTTAGAATTTGTGTGTTGCACCAGATTAAGAGTTTGAGAACTAGGGCCTTGTTTGCCATATGATGGCTTGAGATTCAGCTCTCCACGGCCTGAGCCTCCTTCATATACTCCTTGGGAGTTTTCATCTTCAGTTAATGACTCTTCTATGGGATTCTGATCTGATCCTTCCCATTCTTCTTCTTCTTCACACCATGTTGCATTGGGGCAGTTTGTATACCAGTCTAGGGGCTCATGATCAATCTTCTCAGGACATGGGGTGCCTTCATAGTCCTCTTCTGAACAATACCACGTCTTACCACTCCTTGTTCTGCTTCAGAACATGAATATTGGCTAAGGGCCTCATCTTGACTTGAGTCACCTTCATGTGAATGCTCATATGAGTCTTCTTCTTCCTTTGAATATGATCTCTACTCTATTGTGAGTACCTTGTAAACACAAAGACAGAGATTATCAGAATCAAGTTCACTTAAAATTTATAAGCAAATAATCTAGTAGAATAGAATAAACTGAAACTAAAAATGATTTCAAATGCTTTTGTTTTTTTAATGAAGAAATCAAATAACCAATAGCAATAATTTTTTTTTTTAGATTTAATAGAAGCAAAATAAATCAAGAACAAATTGCAAATTTTTTTTTTTTGATTAAATGATTTAAATAAATAAGAACAATATAATTTTTTTTTGACTTTTAGATGAAATAAAATATTCAGAAAATAAGGAAAATAATTTTTAAGGATTTTATAAAAGTCAATAGATAAGACAAATTAACAAATCAAGCAAAACAATTTTTATGAGTTTTTTTTCGATGAATGATGAAATAAAACAAAATAATAAATAGAAAATAAAAATAAAGGTTGGATGGATACGACTTGGGAGATAGAAGCTTTTGAAACTCTGATACCAGATGATATAAGATTGGGAATCACTCTACAATCTTAGAACAAATGGAGATCAAAACTGATCAACAAGCTGATTGGTGAAAGTGCTTGAAGGTAGCAATGGTGGTAGAAGTTTGATTGGCTGACTCTTTCAGCCTTGGGAGAACTAGATCTGCTTGAATCTCACAAATAAATCTATTCCAAGAGTCAGTAGAAACAAAAGAATCTCTCAATTGAATTTAAAGAAAAATTGTTTAAACAAATAACACTCTTTGAATAAAAAGAACAAAAGTTTTAGATTTTCTTAGATAAAAGTGGTGTCTTACAAATAAAACATTTATGAGCTTATATAGTGCTCAGTTCGTCCTACACAATAACTCTAAAGAGAGAATTAAGCAAAAATCAAAGAAAGATCAAAAAGAATGATTAGAGGGATTTTTGGCTGTTGTGATTTGAATAAAATCTACTCCAGATAAGGTAAGTCGGTCAATGGTGGGATCCGCCTGATCCTTTGGTTGCTGGTGCTGGGAACGGTTTTAGCTGACTCTCCTGATTGGTGTATTAAATCTCCTGAATGGTTTGATGCTTCTCCTGATCGCCAAAGTTTTGTTTGCAAGTGATTAAACTCGCCAGCTCCCATATAAGGCAAGTTGAACATTCTGCGGTATAGAAGTTGAATAAATTTTAATCCATAATGAATTTCGGCATGTCCAATTCTCCTCCGTTCTATGATGAGTTAAGTTCCCAAAACATCCGGTTTCGTTGGTTGATTCTTTGTGGTTTGGCCGGAACGATTTAATTAGTACTCAGATATTTCCATCGGATCCATTAAAGATCTGCCAACTTATATCTTCAATATCTTTTTCATGTGGACTCTTTTTTGGGTAGTTCTTCTTTGTGATTAATTTTGGATGATTTGAGTATGCTCTACAAGAGTTGGTTGAGTTTGAATGTTTGATATCAACCTCCATTTGAGCTGAACTCCACTCGTATATTTCTTTAGCTCTCCTCAGCTTCATGTTCTCTACTTCATGACTCTTGGATCCCTGCTCCTTGGCTAATGATGACTTGATGTCCTCATCACTAAACAATTTGTTTGCTCAAGCCTCCTTTTATGGATGCAAATGTTGAATTTATCTGTAAAGAAAATTAATCTAGAACCACTGAACTAAGGCAAAAAAAGGAGAGATGGTAGAATTGGATAGAACTTAGGTCAAGTATTTCAATGTAATAATCTATAGCGACCCTTGTATACTTGAACATTGTTTTTATTTAAATTATGATTTATGTTAATATTTAGGCTTGACTATAATAAAATAAAATGTTAAAAAATGTTATAGCATAAAAAAATCAAAAATAACCAAAATTGCCCAAAAAGTAATCGAGTCAATCTTTACTAAAATAAAAAAATTAGGTCACGGTGTTTTATGGAATCCATAACTAAAACAAGACAAGAAAGTTTTGATCTAAAACTATGCAATCTAACAAAACTTTAAAACTTTTGTAGATATTTTAAAAGAGACTCATCGAAGATGCCAACGACCACCAATCAATCAATATAAAAATGTAATAATATCTTTGAAATTTTAAAATTTAAATTTTATAATCGATCAAAATATAATTAAAATTAGTTCTTAAATTTTCTCATAGATACGGTAGTTTCAATAATATCGATTATATAAAAATAGGGAAGAAGCAGTCCAATAAAGATAACAACATAGATATGGGCTTTTGCTTTCAATCCAATATATTAATATCCGGAGAAAAAATATATTTATGAGCTACACCTCCTTTAGTGATTAATCTGATTTCTTTCACAGATTTAGAATTCTCTAAATTAAAAAAAAAAAAAAACAGAGAGGGATAGCAATGATCTTAAAAGATAGAAAACGATTAAAAATCAAAGCAGAGAGAATCTAAAGCGATCCTAGACACAATTAAACACCAAATTTCAGGCTAACCTTCACCAGAACAGATCGACATGGAAACATATCTTGAAAAATAGATAAAGAAGATGAGCATTCGAAACATGATTCTAACCGCGATTGTAACTCAAAATCATAAAAAATTGAATATTTAAGTCTCATCATCGGAGGGAAGAACGAAAGTTTGGCCATCTCGTATTTTCTAAGAATAATACTTTTTTTTTTTGCAGTCCGATTAAGAAGCACTTAAATTTGACAAGAGAAAATACACTTATAATTAATTTAAAGAGATACGGATAAGCGTAAGCGATCTTTGAGGTGGGAAAATGGTGACGTGAGCGAAATCGCCAGTGTCACATCTCGAGTGTCAGTCCTCTTTACTCTTTTATAACAATAAATATCGTTTCATTTAGATTTGGTATCATTAAGGATAATTATCTCTAGGTTTGTTATTACGCCATCACCAATATTTGTATATTATTAAATATTTTTTTCAAGTATTTGTGTCGTTTTGATACTCCTCCGATAGAAGTTGTGACTAGACTACAAATGATCTTTGACACTGACACTGACACTGCCTGCCACTGGCTCAAAGCCGATTGCATTTGTACTTCCCACCACATCATCAATTCATCATTATCATTATTACATGTTTTAATTAGTTAATACTATCATTCCCATTAATTAGATGCATTGACAATCGCAAAAGTACTAATACATTCCCCAATGCTACATTGCCTTTGAGAAGTAGTTGTGTCTTTAAATTGATGTTAATATGTAAAAATTAAAACTCACTATTTTGACCGACAATATGGAGTAAAATCGAATCGTAACGCTAGCTAGTCACCTCATTTTACATAGATCTTCTTCGACATTTTCTGCCTATTATATTTGGCTAATTAAATCGCAGAAGTCAAATTATTTTCGAGAAACTTTTTTTGGATGCGTCCTTACTTTGCTGTTAATACGTGTAAACTTTAAAGTTTAACAGGTAACAAAAGTACAATATATACGTAATAATAATAAAGACATGCTATATTAAAATTGTGTTTTCTTTAGAAAATCATGAAAGATGTATAGAAAAAGACAGAGGATGCTTTCATTCACGTGAGAAACATATATAACTTAATTAGTGCACATATCTTACATCCACAATCATGAAACAAGCCTTAGCAAAGAGAGTGACTAAACAAAAAATACACAAGATGAAACCGATTAAACAGAAGAAGTAATTTACAATACGATCGAAATTTTATTATTATTATTTTCTTTTTTGAAGAGAGATCGAAATCAGTAAAAGCAACAAAAGGAAGAAGGTCGGTGAGGTTAAGGGAGATGAGAGTTGTTCCTTGGCTGTCTTGGTGGGTTCACATGATGGTGCAAAGGGTCAGGTCCTGAAGGAACAGTCCTTAACTCTTCATTTAACCCTAAACCTTTCTTCTTCTCTTCTTCCTCTCCATTTTTTCCTCCCCATTTACTCTCCTTCTTCAACATCATCATCTGCGAAATTAAACAGCGATATATTGTGTATTATACTAAAACATGCATTCCTTAATAGATTTTTTCCATATAGTACAAGTTAAAGCAAACCTTGCGAGTTGGAAGTGCATGAACGTGAGCATAAGCGTGAGCTTGAGTAATATCTGTAGCAGACATTAGACATGTAAGAATAAGTGAACGTGAGTGATAGATATATAGAAGAAAGTGACAGAGAGGAAGAGAGATAGAGAGACCAGAAGCATCATGCAAGAACATGAGGCAGAAGAGCAGTAGTAGCACCAGACTTTTCGATTCCATTTTGTAAAGAGAGAGAAAGAAAGACAGAGATCTAGTGAAATTGTTCTCTTTACTGTGGTATTGAGATATGAGAAGGGGACAAGCTAATTTATAGAGGATCTCCATTTGTTTTTTATTGGTTAAATACGTAATCCTAGTTAAATATTGTTGTTGCTTTTGATAATATATCAAGAATTAAAGATTTGGTACGGCGATTAATGTTCATTGATCGACATTTCGAGGCATGGGCATATAAAAAAGTTTTTCATATGACGTCAAAATAAAAAAGCATTACGTTGTACACCATATATATGGCACATATGAATGTTTAACAAACTTTTTTGGAATACACAATTCTTATAAGTTATATGTGTTCTTTAGACACAAAAATGTAATCAAGAAAAAACTAAACAAAGCTTCTCGCAATAATAAATAGCATATATTCTTCGTACACGTGACCAACAATATATAGCAGAAGTTAATGATAATCTAGCAGAATTAATGACAATAGTAGAACAAAAAAATGAAAAATTGTGAAACATATTTATTAGACTATTAGTCATCGGAATGTTTACCAAGTGTAAATATTAAAAAGCCTAATAAAAAAGAAACATAACAATAGAATGTTTTTGAATCTGAACTTCAAAAATGTTTGATAAAAAAACATAAAATAAGTATAGTTTGAATATAAATAAATTAAATCCAATATCTAAAAATCTTTAATGCTATTTTTTTGTGACTAAAAGCCACTTTTGTTTCATTTTCCGTTTTTTGTTGTTTTTCAAAATTCAACTAGTTCGAAATTCAGAGTTTAAAATATTTTCTTTTAATTTTATATTATCAATAAAATAAATGAAATTGTTTTCTTTATAGTAGAAATCAAATCAGATATACAACTACATTTCACCTAATACTTTCTATACGTTCATGAAATGGTATTCAATACGGAATATGAATTACATGCATTAATTGTATGGAACAATATGGATACCTTAATTTCCTTGAGTATCAAATCTATGCCAAATTAGTTGACAAGAGAAAGAATAATGAAGGGTGTACATGTGCCGTGACGGCGCCATATCGACGGTACCATCGGCTGATGTCATGTGGCAGAGAATGAAACCTGGAGGGTGGAGTGCTTCTGACAAGTGTCAGATCTCAGCCGTCCGATCACAGCAAATACAATTTCAGATTCAGCTTTGCTTCGTTTGCCGGTTTCTCTTTTGAGCCAATCCGTTAAAAGTGTCACACTATTTTTAAATCCAAAAATTCCCTCAAATGCATCTAATTTAAGTTTTTGTTCTATATATACATTAACATTCTAAAAAATTCTTTTCATTACATTTGATACCATATTAATTTTAGTTAGACAAATATTAGTTATATAAAAAAAAATAATATACAAACAAATGTATTAATGACCAAAACTGATCTGAAATCGAATCATATGTTTTGTTTAGAATCACTCTTTCTCTTACTACAGTATTCTAAAGTTTTAGAAAAACTTTCTTAAAATGTATAAATTAAAGAAATCATTACATGTATTTATGAATATCTTCGTAAATCTTATAATTGATTATTATTTTTGTAAATTTATACAACTTAAAATCAAGAAGCTTTTTCACAATTCAGGAAACTCTTCCACAATTCAAGAAACATTTCTCCAATTCAGAAAATTTTTAAAAATTTAGGAAAGCTTTCATAAATCATATGAAACGATGTTAAATTATAGTATTTAGAAGATCTTCCTAAAAAAAATTACGAAACATCAACAGAAAAAAATATTTTGGAAGACTTTCCTAAAAAGTATAATTGGGAAACTCAAATGAAAAATATTAGGGATGGAAAATTTTTAGTTTTCCTATTATATTTATCCTGAAAACTTATTTTCAGTATAATTATAGAAATTGCCTTTTAAATTTTAACAATTTATTTACCATCATATAATATTCTGAACATAATTATTTTAGACGAATTGGATGGTAAAAAAAATAGATATCGAATAAAAAAGATAGAAATAAGAAAGTAAAATATCGAATGATTAAATTTTGGACGAAGTTGATTTTTTTTATTCTTTTCATTATACAAAGATTTTGCCATAACATATTCCTTTTAATAAAACTTTAATATTATGCATTATTATTATTTTATATTATTACTATTATTATTTTTGTCACCAATTTATTTAATAAATAAAATACTCATATAAAATTATATATCTGATAATAGTAATGATAAATAAAAATATTTATATATTATAATATATATATATATATATTCACTGTAATTTATGTAAATATGCATCTACCCATTATCATTTACTTATTTTTTATTATTTACCAAATTTACCTTCATTGTAAAACAATATTGACAATATTATATGTATTACTATTGGATCCATAATTCATTTAATTCAATTTAATAATCTATCATGATTCTACAATTTGTATATGTATATTGTTACTCTATTTTTGAATTAGATTTATAGCAACGTCAAAATATTTTCTTTTCCATTTCTTTTCTATATATTATGAATAGTTGTTGGTTGATTAATAAATTTTAAAAACATTCATTACATCAACTTACAAAGCACAGAACAGAAATTGTTAAAAAAAAACTGTTTTACAATATTTCTGTTTTATAAGTTTATATAATGAACGTTTTTCTAATTAATTAATCAATCAACAACTATTCATATATATAAGAAAGAAATGGAAAAGAAAATATTTTGAAGTTGCTATAAATCTAATCTAAAAATAAAGTAATAAAATATAGAATGATAAATAATATAATGAAAAATTGAATTGTTAGTGTAATAGTGAATTCTATTCATTTTTTTATTCTTCTAAATTTAGAAAGTAGAATGAAAAGAATAAAATTAAAAAAGTAAAATATGTGGAATATTTTAATAAATCTATTCCACAAAAATATATTTCATTTGTAGTCGTCGAAGAAAAATGAAACATTCTAGAATATACAATGAGAGGAAGAGATCAGTAGAAACAAGAAAAGACGAGTGTAACGTTAATCGACAAGAGACTGATTGAAGAAGTCACAAAGGTCAATTCTGAGTTTAGAAAATATTTTTACTTTCATTGGTTATTTGTCCAATAACCATTGAAGTTTTTGTATATTAATTTGTAACTGCATTAAAAATATGAATATTTTATTATTTTCTTCAATAATAAAATAAAGATAAATAAAATATTTTTTATTATAAACACCTATAGTATTATATTATTACTTGTCTATAGTAAGGATATATTGTTTTATAGTAAAACCAATCTGAAATATTCATGATGAAATTTCTATCCACAAAACTAAAGTACTGATGTCTTTTTAGTCCTTATAGATTATCAAGACATATAATACAATAAACCATTTTAAATAAGAATGCTAACTAACTCCCAAATCGATAGAATTTATAAGTGAATCGATTTTAGTAACGATAAAAGTACAATAGACCAAATAAATTATTCAACAGCTATAAATATATAAAAACAACTAAAATCATTGCTCTAAGTTGCAAGTCTTTGGAAGCTCATGGCCGACACAATAGACGAAGTGGTGGTTACTTACAACAGCATGTACAATTCTGAGATGGAGATATCAAATAAGAGAGTTATTATCATGCCCCCTTATTTATTGACGAAATCTAGTATTTTTGCAATACTGTGGGTCTCGGTAGGAATGTCATCAGCATTTCCATCGATAGTTGTAGGGAGAAGACCTTCTTGATAGTATGGGCTGACAGATTTGTGGAGACAAATGTCAGAGACGAAATGGTTTTATAGTAAATAAGAAGCTATGTTATAAATGTCTGCTTTATATACATATTAGTACCTTTTGATGAAATCTTTAACAACTGTGTTGTCGAAGTTGTAAAATATCCGAGTAGATGCAGTAGCGTTGAGATATAGTTGACCTTACATAATTGGAAAAGACAAGTTAGAGATTAAGAGTATACAAAAAAATGCAAAAAAGAAGTTAACTATAAAAGTTCCATTAAACTTTCCACCAAAAGATTTAGGGTTCACCAGTGACAATGGCGACAATAGGTCCCTCTTTAGTTGCTTTGAAAGTTGAGTTATTTTCTTATAGTATTTGGTTGGTAGGAAAAGAAATTGTGTAGTTGGTGTTGTATTGTTGACGAAGTGGCCGAGTAATTTTGAGATAGAGTTTGTTTTCTGTTGATGGAGTGATAGGAAGTCTCTGATAATATTATGCATATAATATATTATCCATTATAGTTTTGTTAAAATAAAAAATTATATTTATAATTACATTGATGTAGAGTTATTGCTATTTTTTTTTTGTCAACAACCTCAACTTACAACGTTTCAGAAATACAAACCGGAGGAGTTGAGTGTACATAATTTAAACTATAAAGACAATCTCAAGCACTATATGCTAACTTGTCTGCATCTGTATTTTGAGCGTGTAGAATATGTGAGATGGAAAAGAAACTAAATTATTTTCGGGTCGTCTCGAATTCCTCCAGATGTAGTGCGAAGGCCAGCCATTCATGTGGTTGGGACACCATCTTCACTAATTCAGAACAGTCTGTGATGAAAGCCATCGCAAGTCTTCCTGCATTGAGCATACAATGCATAGCTCAAATTAAAGCTTCCAATCCTGTGTGTAATGGGGAAAGGCTTCGCCTGACATTTTTTGCCCCCATTAATGTCACCTGTGAATCCTGTCCTTGATAGTACCAGCCTAACCCGGCATTTACTACAGTTTCTTTTCATGACCCATCCGTATAACATATTAAACCCAGGTACCCTTGTGTCAGTACTGTTAGTGTATTTGGATGATGAGCTTGTGATGGTTGAATTTGTGCCAAAACCCATGATTTGGCTTCTTTTTGGGCTATCCTTCAGATTTCTCTGGAGTTCGGATAAATATTTGAAAATATTTTATCATTTCGTGCTTTCGAGATGTACCAGAGTATCCGGGGGAATATTTCCATTCCTTCTGTATTTGGTAGCTGCAAAAAAAGATGTGTCATATTTAATTATATGGCTGTTGAAGGAATTCCCGACGTCGGTGTAGATTTCACCGATATACATTATTTGAAGGCCCACACTTGGAAAGCTGGTGGACATTCAAATAATG